CAATGAAAAAGCAGATGAAATTCATAGCAGAAAAAAAAAGGTTTTTTCAGGAAACAGAGGAAAAGTTTATATAAATAGTTCTCTATTTTTTCTCAAATATTTTCTCAAATTCTCTATAATTTCTCAAAAAATTTATAAACATGATCTCATTAATAGAGAACCTCTAAGAAGAAATATACTGTTTTAATAAAGCAATAATAAAAATGGCAGAAAGAGTTGAAAAATGAAATGGCAAAGACCAAGAAAGAAATGGAAAAAAAATAAAATAAAACCATTATGAAGTAGAAAATGACAGACATTAGAAGTTACAAAATAGAATAAACACAATTGAAAACTGTGGGATCCGAACCCTCGGACGGGAGCGCCACCGCGCTTCCCAAGCAGCGCACTATCCAGTGCGCCACCGGGCCGGCCCTTAAAAGTTTTTAAAAAATGTTTTATCCTTATAATTAAAGAAATTAGCACTCCATTAATACACAGATAAATTGAGGGATGGAGAATATAAACAGTGTAACAAATTAACACTGAGATAGAAATACATGACTGAAAAGCGAAACCTGGGAATGAAAGGAGAAAAAAAATAATGAAACGGAAGGAATGTCACTGGAATAAAATTCTGGGATTCCTTAAGAGAAACTAAAAATGCTTTCAGAAATACAACCCAGGAAAATAAAAGTATTTACAATTTACTCCCTTTCTATGAAAGACCCCCAAAATAACATAAATAATGAAAAATGAGAAAAATAAAACCAAAATCAAAATCAGACTCTGGAAAAATCAAGACTCTGTAATTAACAAATAATTGATGCCAAAATATGATCAATTGTTTTCAAATAGGGAGGAAATTGACTAGCATATATCTTGGGAAGGATGTAGATTTCACTAAGTGTCATGGTCCTGAGATGTCCTCCAAAGATGGATTGTTTGAAGCCGCCAGGTGATAGAGCTTAGACAGACAAGAAAAACCAAATCTTTCTTTATACAATTCCAGTTGTATATTCCCAAATGGTAGAAGATAGGGTAAAGATAAAAATGCTGACAGATTATATTTGATAGCTGTAAAATAGCCTGCTGAATAATATAGAATACTAGAGTTAAAGCAGGGAAGGTGGAGGGACAGGGAGCAGTAACATCAGAGAGAAAGTAATACAGAGAGTTTTACACTGTGAGCTACATAGACCACCCAAAAGTCAAAAATAGAGAAAAAAATATGGTCCTTTGGAAAAAACTAAAACAGATTTGGGGAGGTGGGCTTGAAATCTGAAATTTAAATAGCTTCTGTGGGCTGATCTGACTCACCCTCCCACCTCTTCCCACACTATAGTTCAGTAAATAGCTGGCTTCCTTCAGTGATTAATAAAAAGAAACCAGCCCAGAAAACAGGCAAAGATGGTAAAAGCACAATGAAAAAGCAGATGAAATTCATAGCAGAAAAAAAAAGGTTTTTTCAGGAAACAGAGGAAAAGTTTATATAAATAGTTCTCTATTTTTTCTCAAATATTTTCTCAAATTCTCTATAATTTCTCAAAAAATTTATAAACATGATCTCATTAATAGAGAACCTCTAAGAAGAAATATACTGTTTTAATAAAGCAATAATAAAAATGGCAGAAAGAGTTGAAAAATGAAATGGCAAAGACCAAGAAAGAAATGGAAAAAAAATAAAATAAAACCATTATGAAGTAGAAAATGACAGACATTAGAAGTTACAAAATAGAATAAACACAATTGAAAACTCACGAGTTATGGTTGACAAAGGTTGCCAAAAAATTTAAAGATACGAAAGTAATTATACAGACTAAGAGAGTACTTCAAAAAGTTCATGGAAAAATAGAATTGAAAGGTAATAATATTTCCATGAATTTTTTGAAGTACCTTCATAGTATAAATAGTTATAGAGACAGAAGATATTTAACATGATTAGCATTCCTAAGGAAACAATTATTTAGACATGTAATAGAAGAAAAATTTCCTGAAAACAAAGATTTAAATCTGGGATTAAAACAGCACAGACTCTCTAAAATCTCTTGCTTTGAAGAAATATCATCTAAAATTCAATAATTTCTTCAGTTTTACCCTACTATTTTTATCTTAAATTGAGATAAAAGTCAACTTTTTTCTATTGTTTAACAGCACATATGGTACATTTGGCTCATACATTTATAAAATTGTCTTTTAATTAAGCAATCTACTCTTCTGTACAAACATGTCTACATAAAGTTATCTGGCATGATATTCATGAATGTTAATTTCCGGGTGGTGGGATTTTGAAATTGTTCTTAAATTTCTTCAATGCCTATTTTTATTTTTTAAAATGATGTATTATTTTTATAAGTGATAATGGAGTGTTTGGGGTTTTTTAAAAAAGGAAATGTAAGGCAAAGATTAATTAAAAGAGAGAAGGAAAATAAGAGATCTCAATTTTTCCACTACCTTTAGATTCACGGTCCTACAATCCATAGTTCACTATCAATCGGGTGATTTCTCTAAACAACAAGCATAAGCATGTTAGTTTTCTTATTCCTATCCTGTAAGATTTTCAGTAAATTGTCATTCATCCAGATCAAATCCAATCTCTTTAGTACTTTACACAAAACTCTCACTAACCCAGCCCCACTGGGTCTTTTCAACATCAACAACTCTCACTTGCCTGCATTCACTCTTCCCTCCAACCATCCGGAACTATTCATAGGAAGACTTCCCTTTGACCTTCCAAATCTCCATCTCTTCTCATGCTTCAGGTGGTGATAAAAGTGTGCTTTTGTTTTTTCTTTGTTTGTTTGTGGAAGTGGGGGACAGGGTTCTAGAAGAACTCCAAATTATTCTACAAAATTCAGTTCAATATCATCTCTATGAAGCCTTCCCTGCCATGACTCTTTTCCTCCCCATCAACAAAGTTACAAAGACAAGTGTATCCTTTTTCCACCATCTACAATCACACCTCAAAAGGTTCATGGAAAAATTAGGTTCAAGCAAACAGAATAGAAAGATAATATAAATTTTTTCATGAAGTTTTCGAAGTACTCTGGTATATCAGTGCCATGCCAAACAATAGTGCAGCCTAAGACAAAAGGAACCATTATTAATACTGATCCTGTATTAATTTAAAATTCTTATATTTTGTTCATCATGGATTTTTGCATTGAATTTAATTTTTTAATGTTGGTTTAAAATATTACTTATCTTGATTATTGATGTTTTTTGTGCCCCCATAGCCATTTGTGCCCGAGGCAAGTATCACTCTAGTCTTGGTCCTACTCCTGAAGCACTTGTTATGCTTCAGAATTATTTGTCTATTTATCTATCATCATCGCCAGACTGTGACCACCTGCAAGGAAAGGGACCAGCTGTTTATTTTTGTGTATCTAAAAATCAGCACAGTACCCAATGCTGGGCAGAAGCCCATTTAGTGACGATTAATAAAACCCCAGAAAGAGAAATAAGCACTCTTCTTTAATCTCCGAAGGATAAAATCTTCCATGGGGAAAAAAATACCTAATCTAAGTGGAAGATGTTATGTTTTTATTTTTTTTTTAAGGTAAAGAAACATTAGTTTAAGGCCAGTCATGCGCTTAAAGTAATTTGGCAGTAGAACTAATTTTTCCCCCATAAACATCCATTTGTGGCAGAAAGTATTAAGAGTGTCTACTGTAAGAATATGCTTGTATTTACTATGAGAATCAGAGAATAATAAAATTGATAAAATCTTAAATATTACTTAATTTACCCCATCTTTGTTACAAATAAGGAGTCAGTCCTAGAGAAGTTAAGTGACTTCTCTAAAACCACAATACAGTCACAACTTGAAATCAGGGACCCATCTCTCCCCCTGGTGTTTTTCCACTGGGGATTATTCACAAATCTAGAAGAGGGGACCATTGATAAACAGGAGAATGGGCAGCAGAATTTTGTTTTCCTTTTTTTTAGGCCAGGCAAAAGTGACTAGTTCATGGGTTAAATAAACCACAAACAAAATTTTATGGATTGCTTGAAACACAGTCACTGCTAAAGTGAGATTGAAAAATGACCTTTCAAAGTCCATTCCAGCCCTGTGCTTTTTTATCTTTGTCATTAACATCTCGGTGATTCATTTCATCTACAAAAGAGGGTGACTCTACTCTCTGCCTACTTTAATTCAAGATTTGTGAGGTCCAGTTCAAAATATACATTATTCAAAGTACTAGGCATATGTACAAATGCCAGTCATTTTTAACTGTGGATTAATCATGTAAATATATTTTTATACCTAGTCATGCCTAGAGGCAATTTGAAGTAATTATGTAGCAGTTAGTGGCCAACTTGGAATTGAAAGTCAGAATGTAGGTACTGGTACTGAATAAACTATTCTGAATTTTATCTTTAAGAGATACGGACATACAAAGGTACCATTCTCAGCTGGTATTATTATTATTATTATTATCGTTATTCACAAGTTATCAGGACTTAGGGCTTCCCTAATTATTCTTGTGAGATTTTCTAGAGGTAAAAAGTGACTGGCTCTTCAGCAAAGTACCTCTGACTTATTGGGAAAATATAAATGATGACCAAAATTAAAAATCATTGAATAAATTTGATGAAATTTATTTAGGGAAAATGAGCCACACATTATTAACATTGTATGCAAATGAAATAATTCCTTTTTGTACTAATGATTAGACTTCCTGGTCAATTTTTTCTAAATTTTTATTAGAAAAAATTTTATACTTATTTCTAAATTTTTACGTACTAAAATTAAAAAAAAAAAAATCCACCAAAACGACAAAAACTGTGAGTTCACCTGGATCTCTGTCTACAAATCTAAAATTATTTATTTTTATCCCTTTAAAACCAGTAAAACTTATAGGAGAAGATTTTTTTACTTTTAAAGAAAGCCAAAAAAGCAAAGAGTGTTCTCACCAAGTGAGAAGAGTGTTTTCTCATCATACCTTCCAACCCCAATTCCAAGCATTGTCCTGAAGGCCAGAAATATATTTTCATTCATGAAATAATTTATGGTATGCTTTTTTGTACAAGTACTCTTTATTAAATATACACATATATACAGATTTTACTGGGCCTCATTTTTCTGGAAGCAATCTGTAAATGAGGGGTTTGGACTGGATGATTTCTACAGCATCTTTCAGCCTTAAAATGCATTGATTCCAAGAAATACCTAAAGAGATAGCCAAGAAGGAATTCTCAGATATAGCTCACAATTATTAATATTTGGCATTTGCTCATTTTACAAGTCTCATATACAGCCATTACAAGGCAAGGCAATAACTAAAAAGTCAATGCCAATTAATATCATCTCTTCCCTAAGAAATAAGGGATCCTGTCTTCAGTATGACAATTTCCATCAAAATGTCCCCCCAAATACCAGGACACATTCATCCACATAACCCCAGAGCAGAGAGAAAGAAGTATAGAAGAAAAGCCTGGAAGCAACACAACAAAAAAACAGACCTGGATTGAGCTGCATAAGAAAGAAGCAAGAAATTCAATTAAGTTGTTAAGCCTACCTAATGCAAAAGAAAAGTCAGTACATGAAGATCCTGATAAATTGCATAACCAAGTCAGTGGCATCCTAGGCCATGGCTGTGATTCTTTTCCTTCACTCCTTTTCTTTGCTGCTCCTTTAATTTGAAAATACCTTAGTTATGAAACCTTACCAAAACTCCCAGGAAACAAACACAAAACTGCCCCAAAATATGGAATTATGGACACAAAAACCCTCAAGAAGGTTAGCATTTCACCAGCTAATATAGATCTATATTATGTTGGAAAAGGTATTTGAAAGGCCTGTGTTGAGTTCCTATTTCTGATGATTCTGTAAGTCTGATCAAATTGTATTATGTGATTCTGATCAAATTTGAGACAAGTAATCTGTCAGGTCTTATAGTGCCCAGATTTTTACTTTCAGATGCATGGTGCTTTTAACTTACAGATATTATTAATATTCCTTATATAAACATAAGAGAAACAAATACTTTGAATATACTGTCAGACTCTAAATAAATTTTCTTCATTAAATAATGCAATGTCCTCTGCTTGTTTATGGTTCTTTGGCATGCATTGACTGTTCCATTCTTTAAGTAATACATAGGGAAAGGTGAAAGAGCTTTCCTAGAGAGAATGTCTAGCATAGCGCCTGGAACACAGTAGGCTCTGAATAACTATGCGGTGAATGAATACATAACCGAATGAACTACTATGAAAAAGAATTTGTACAAGGATTTAAACTTTGGCTCAAAGCAAAAAATTTCAAGTCAACTATTAAGTATTGTTTGGCCAACATATGAAAAGGAACACATTTTCCCTGGTATACGTCTTTGTTTTTGATGCAGCAGAGGTTTCACTTTATTGATCAGTGTTTTGTTTCATTTTCCTTTCACCAATGTTTCCTTTAACAAGAAAAGTCCTTTTCTTGCAGGCACTAAGAGGATCTCCAAAGGTCACCGCACGTGATATCCAATAAATGAATCTGGTTAAGTGCAATGCCACTGTAAAATCAGGATGGCCAGTTGATATTTATAGGGCATATTAAAAAGTGCCATAGTCTGTTTTCAAATTTCAATGCAAAAATATGCACCATGTATCGCTAATAGCCCTCTTTCTTTTGTCCCAGCTTTCCAGGATGGCATATTTTCTGTCTAGTTTGAATGCTAAATTCTTTTAAAACCATCTTTCTAAGAAGAAAGATGGTTCACTTTCTTTTCACTAAGAAATTAATTAACTCTCCCAATAACTGGCTTGTGTTTTTAAAAGGAAAAATATTACATAGAATTTTTATTTTAGTAAAGAATAATTTTTTATGTTTAAAAACATTTAAAAAGACATTCTGCATTTTCATCATCTTTTAGGAAACTACCATAAGCAACAAAATTACATTAGACTTTCTGATTTCTCCATAGTGTCCTTAGATAAGTAAACAACCCAATAGACCATGTTAAATGCCCCGAATGTGACTGGAAAGAGAATACGGGCATATTTGTCTATTTTACTTGTGCCAGATCCAGAAGGTGGTGGAGCAGAAGGAGGGGGAGCGGCTGACAACTTCCCAGAAGCCCCTATAGTATTAACAGTGGTTTTAATCCGCTCCAGCCTTGATCCAAAAGTACGGTGAGTAGAAGCAGATGCAACTGAAGCTTGCTGGGACACATACCCAGTTCGACTAGGAGCAGGAGAAGCGGGTGGAAGTGCTCTTGCAGCAGATATAGTCTCAGCTGCACTTGCACGGCTGAATGGGTTCGGACTGGAAGCTAAGTAAGACGGAGGTGTGGCTCCAGAAGATTCTTGAACAACCGTAGAAGATTTGCCCGAATGGTTTCCCACCTCAGTTCTGTTGCCAACATCAGATTCAGAGTGAACCAAAGCATTTGTTCTTTTTCTCATGCTCAAATTGGCATGTGTATTCTGAAAAGGTATATTAAAAATTATGTTGGTTATGTAATTTTATGCAAATTTGTACAAAATTTGAAGGGATAAAAATACTTAAAATTAATTGTTTCCATAAAATAAACACTTAATATGTTATAGCCATTGAGGTCTATGTAAAAACTTAAAAATACCTAACTAAAAAATAATGTGCATGTATTTGAAACTCTGAATTGAAAATCTTCTATTCAAAATATGTAAAAAGAACATTAGGTTTTTAGGACTATAAAATAAGTTTAGATCTGATTTTATTTTAGGAATTTATGACTACAGCTGTACAAGTTCTTTGTTCAGTTTTACTGCAACATATATTCTGTAACAAGTCACAAACATTTCAAATAGTTTTGTATGCGTTTGTTTTATAAACAGGAAGATGTGTATCTAGTCTTGTGCACAGAATAACAATAACTATCATATGTGCATGACATTCCTTAAAAAAATTTCTAAAAACTCTAACTTTCAATTTCCTAGAATTTATTTTTACAAAAGAATCTTAGATAGGCATACACATTATTATAAAATCTAAAATCTTGACACATTTTAGTTTTCATCACAATTAATAATGAAAATACAACGGAAAATTAATTTTGAATAAAGGGTTGTATTAGACCTATAAATGACATCACCAAATAGCTGCATATATATCCGAATCTAAATCATTAGCCAGTGAAGACTGATTAAATACAAATATAATTCACTATTTTCCATCAAATTCTTTTATTCATATATTTGAATAAATCTATGTGCTAAGCCATTAAAATTAATTCCCCTTATAATTCTGACAGACAGCAAATAATTATATGGTCAACTACAGAACGTCCGTGCTAATGAAGGAAAGCAATTGCTCAGGTGATCCCTGAAATAGTCGTGTCTGACTTTAGAATCCACCATACTTTTTGCAATAACTTGTCTTCCCTAATTATGTTTATTCCAAGTTATATTAAAGTTATATTGTGATTACTTTTTATATCTTCACCCCTTACTATTTTATAAAATAAATGGCACGTGAAGAAATGAAGAAGTGAAGGAGAGTGAGAGGAGGAAGAGCAGCTCATAAATGGATGCTTGGAAGGAACCAGCCTCGGAGGACAATTCACAGACAAATCATAAAGTGGATAAATTATACACAATTAATTGAGAGTGCACTTTAGAGAGAAAAGTTTATTCTACAAATATAATCTTGCTTAGCACCACACTAATCAATCATGTTTAAAGTGCTTAATTTATATCTCATGTATTCGTCAATTATGACTTCAAGGTTGCTGAGTTAAAACAGTCTCACAAAACACAGAGCCAAAGCAAGCTCTGAAAGGTATAGAAAGCATTCTTCATGTCAGCCTGGAGTCTTCTTCTAAGCAGGTTGCACTTGAACTGATGAGGAATTGTAGCCTAACATATGGCATCTAATTTTGCTGGAGACCATTGAAACAAAAATTGACATTAGCCTAAAACCTGAAGACACCATTACTTATCGTGCACTTTTCCTCTACAAAGCACATTATAAACGTCACCTGATTAACTCTCAGATTTTGAGTCTCTTATTACAGAAAGGGAAAATAATTGATTATCGTTAATTTTAAAATGTTATACTCATTGTAGAGAATATAAAGAAGGAAAAGATATAGTCCCAACACTTAAAGTGCATATACTATCATTGGCAAGATAATATACACACCCACACATGATACAATTGAAAATATAACAAAAGTAAAATATATTCAAGGGCCAAATTGTGACAAAATGCTAAATATTCTAAGAGAAGGCTAGAGGGTAAAAAGGATGAATCGGGCAAACAGGAAAGAAATATATATCTTTTAAAATATAATCCGACTGTTGCATACTGTCTTTTTCTACTTAAAGTTAGGTTGTCCATGGTCTTCAGTAACCTTTATTTTTTTTCCTAACACTAAATTCTAAAGAATGGAAAACTCCACTTCCAGCCTAAATGGAACAACAGGAACTGAATTTACTCTTCTGCCTGAAATGATCCAGAAAAAACTGGACAAAATTTTTAGACAACACAGGACCACAATCGCTGAGAGAGAAGAAACAATGGAGAGTTTACTGTGGTGCAGGAAAGGAGGACACAGGGAAAAACTGGCAGACTCCCTAAACGGAGGAGATGGAGCTGAGAGTCTGGAAAGAACAAGGGGATGAAAGTTCACAGGACAAAGCACCAGAGAGAAGAACACTGAACAAAGAGAGAACTGCAAAAATCTGAAGAGTCCACATGGAGTATTTTACTAATTCAAGATCAGTTCATGAACCCAAGGCCAAAAAAGAACCACCTGAAAGGATTAGAGAAAACAGTACTTGATGCTCACACAAAGCCAGGAATACTGCATGTTCCCACTTGCCAGACTGGAAAATGGCAAAATTCATGTAGCTTTTGGTAGAGTACTCAGGAGGGCCTTGCCTCAGTGGTATGGAATACATAGCCCTAAATACTGCTGTGGTCCTGCCTAATGAATTTTAAAATCAAGATTGAAAAGGATCAAACTGACTCCAAGTAAATTAACTGCACCCCCAGAGCAAAGCTCAACATTTTTCTTCTTCTTTCCCTCTAGACCACTAAACTTCTGAAACTTCCTGAAATCCGGTGAATCATGTTCTATATGACAGATTGGTTACAAAAATGTCAACAATTCATCATCTCTCTCCATATTCATGCCCTCTGCAATGTGAGTTTACTTACTCCTCCCCCATAAGGAGATGGAGTATCTTTCTCTACAGGTTGCCTTATGACTTTGTCTGACTTTATGTGGTGGAAATAATGGTGTCATTTCCAAGTCTTAGCCTCGAAAGTTCTTGGTTGCTTCCATTCTCTCCTGAAACACTGCTGCCACCACCACAAGAACAGGCCTGAGCTAGCCTGCTGGAGGATGAGAGATTATTTGGAGAAGGGCCTGTTATCTCAGTGAGGCCATCCTAGATCACTTAACAGCTTGCTAACACTAGACACAAGAATTTCTTCCAGCTAGGAGAAGATGGACTGCCCAAGCAAGCCTAATCAAGATCAACAGAACTTCCCAGTGAACCAAAAGACTTGAAAGCAAAAATAAATATTTATTGTATGTACCCAAGGTATTGTAGTTGTTATACAGCTACAATTATTATTGTGGTAATAGATAATTTACATAGACTAATTAAATCAAGGGTCCTGAAAGGAGGGGTTTCCAAACCTTGAGTGAGGTGAAGTTCCTCAGACATTCTAGGATAATGGACTGTCCAGAACTCATAGAGGACCTTTAGGGGGCACTGTTGCCTAACTCCATACACTAGCTAAAAATCAAGATATTTTGCTCTTCATAATCCCATTCTTTAAGAATTACAATATTTTAAAACTCGAAGGGATTTTTAGTGATTAACTTGTTCCATTTCCTCAACTTATTCTTATTTCCATTTTATAGTAGAAGAAAATAAGTGCAGAAAGATCATGATTGGCTGGAGGTCATACAACAAGTGAGTTACTGTTCTGGAGCGCTGCACATCTGCTCTACTCACAAAAGTGGAGGAAGCTCTAAAGAATTTAACAAACTGCACCTGTCTATTTGGTTCAGTTAACTATTCATAATAGTCAAGTATATTGTTAAGAAAAAAATATTCAAGACTTGGACAATAAAAAAGGAATATAACATGACCTTTCAATATCATAATGGAGCATTGTTTTACAAGCCCATCCAAGGATTATTAAGTCTCCAGGAGAATTTAACTGAGTTTGATTTTCCTATGTAATATTTGATTAGAGCCCAAACACTATGAAGTTAACACGTTAACTTGTAGATTCCTGTCTAGTAGAAAAGGTCACCAAACTTTATGGTGTTAATACCATATAGGATATTAAGCACTTCCATATCTGACCTAGCAATTTCATTCCAGTATTCTTTTTTTAATGCTTATACATAGCCATTCCTTGAAAAGATTTTGAACCAGCTTTACCATCTAAGTGATTCTCTCACTAATTAATGAGCGCTACAAATCTTTGACATATGTCCATTCTATATTTGTATGAGTCATGCTTTTGATGGTTTGAAAATTATATTCTGACATTTGCTGTTTGGCAAGTTATAAGTATTAAAGAAATAAAAGCATAGAATTGAAGAATATTCCTAGAGAAAAGGGAGAGCCTGAGCAAAAGAGATAGGATCAGTCTAAAGTGATTGGAAAAAAGAATCAATGAAGCAAGAGAGTTCATGAGAATGGAGGGAGTAATATGAACAGTGCTACTGGGATTACTGTCTAAAACCAAAGATTAGATCTTTTTATTCCTAGTTTAAAAGTATTAATGAGCTAGAGTACAAAAAGTCCCTTATTAATCATTGTAGGCTAATGCACAATGAAGTGGCTAATGAACAATGAAGTGGGCTAAGGCACCCACTTTTACTTGATAAACTGCATTGGAATAGATATAGTACAGAATCAAAATCCTTTTCAAAATTAAAGAGAATGTGTCAAAAGTTTTTATCTGGTCTCCAGATTACTATTTTTTGCTTACAGGGCAGAGATCTAGAATATTGCAGGTAGCACTTAAGGCATGTAAATTATCTTGACTCATCCCAAGTCTGACTGAAAATGCCTAAGATATCTCGATACTCTATGTGTCATAACCTACATAAAGGAACATGGGATTAGACTGATTTGATGCTTAAATCTTTGCTCTGTGCCAAACAGTTAAATGATACTCAAGTTATTTTGTAGTTATGTCTCTAGGTCCATCGTGTAAAAAGCAGTTGTCATTTTCCATGATGACAAACCACAAAAGAATTGAGGAGTCAGCTGACCTACCTGGCACAGGACTCACTAGGAATAATATTGACACAGCCTTCAATTTTTGGAACAACTAATGTGTCAGTCAGAGTGATGTGTTTCATACAGACTGTAGACACTTCGGTGGCTCCATCAGTATTCAGAAGACACACAAACAGGAAAAGCACCTAAGCTTCATTTGAATTTTAAAAAATGATTTAGTTTGAAATCAT